CAAACTAAAGATATAAAAGAGATGGTAGAAGAATCCCTGGATCTAGGTCATTAAGTAGAAGGGGTTTCTAAAAAGTTTGTGGGATACTTCCTGAGCATGGCTGTGGAGGTAGGGAAGAAGTACAATATACTCTTCAAGCCAGTAATCTGAAATTCCTGCCTTTGCAGACCCTAAGGAAATGCCTCATACCAAGAACATAATCAGAAACCCTAATAAAGTGGTTTGAAGTAGCATGATGAAAAATTATACAAATTACCTAAATTATTTATTACAAGTGTCTAATAGATTTTGATCAACTTTAGATGATTCTTAATGATGCTTATCCACGAAATTCTTAATTTCTCAATTAAAAAAAATATGATCAAGAAACTCTTTTGCTGCCACACCAACATTTGACAACAGCTTGGTCGATAATGGGGTGAGAACACCCAGCTTTGATCTCTGGCATCATGCCAGCAGGGGGTGCTGCTCTTGCTATGAAAGGAGCTGGGAACGGGCCGGGGCAGAAAAGGCCACCAGATTTCCATATCAGATCTGCAGAGCAAGACTTCCATTCCGTTTGTTTGTATTTTCAACTGTAGTCTGGTTTTATATGTTTATTTAAAGGTTTTTAAAAATGCTGAACTGCCACTGATTTTTCAAGAAGGATAATCACATTGAAATTTAAAACGAGAAAATTAGAAAGCCAAATGGTATTTATTTTAGATGAGCTGAATTATGGGAAGACAAAGATTTCTATTACTGTGATCACCAGGAGAAAGGTATTTCTTTTTGGAATTTTAAGAGCCTCAAATATGATACTTTATTTGTACAAGTTCAACATAAAAAAAGAGATTCCGCTTTACAATTTAAAAAGTATTAGGAATAATATTTTGGCAGAAAATTTGAATAGTTCATAGCAATATGTATCACTTACACAAAAGAGGATCTACATTTATAACTTGCTATCTTAGGAAAAAATTAAAAGATGGGAAAATATGTTTTTTGTAATAAAAATGATCATTATGCAAAACAACTTGCAAGCTATTGAAATACTGTTTTTCTACAAAATTTTGTAACATCTCCTTTTTATATGTGCCATGCCCTGTGCTAACCATACCAATCCTATGCCAAGGGTAACACCATCCTCACTTTACAGGCAGCAAAACTGGCTCAGAGAATTTATCTAACTCCAATTTGCCCAGGATCCCACATTCAGGTTAGAGCAGAACTGTGTTCTTAACCACTGTGCTATTTCATGGAATAATTTGAGTATGTTCATTAAAACTGTCACTTGATAAAACACACACACACAATTTATTTCCTAAGACATTATGTTCCTAAGTTTATTACCTAAATGTTAATTATTCTTCGTGCTGATGGAATGGTAATCCCATAGTTTATTATTATCTGTACAATATGAGCACATAGGATGCTCATCTTTTCCATGGCAATGAAAACATAAATAATGATTTACTTACAGGCATTCTAGCTCATCTAATGATTTGCCTGAAATCTCAGCCATGGCTTTTAGGAGACAAGATCTGAAGGAGCTATGCAAAGTGATGTTCCCCTTCCCGCTGAGAAGCAAATGAGTGTACCACAGCGAGTCTGACCCCAAACAGCCAGATTTGTAAAGCCACCACTTAACTTGCTGGGAGAAAAACCGTCCCCAGACAGCAGTGTAAGATGCTTAGCAGTCCGGCAGTCCAGGGCTAGACAAATTAGTGTAATCCATTCAGCCATAGTGTTTGCCTGTGATCTTCCACATCAAACTGTCACCTGAATTGCTAAGGACATTTCTAACCACTTTGCTTTTTAAATATCAGATAAGATCGATTACTACCAAATTTAAAACTGATATACAATTTTTTTTAAAAGGAAGTGCTTAATTTAAAATGACTCAGTGCGGGGCCGGCCCGGTGGCGCAAGCGGTTAAGTGCGCGCGCTCCACTGCGGCGGCCCGGGGTTCGCTGGTTCGGATCCCGGGCGCGCACCGATGCACTGCTTGGCAAGCCATGCTGTGGCGGCGTCCCATATAAAGTGGAGGAAGATGGGCACAGATGTTAGCCCAGGGCCGTCTTCCTCAGCAAAAAAAAGAGGAGGATTGGCGGATGTTAGCACAGGGCTGATCTCCTCACAAAAAAAAAAAATAAAAAAAAACAAAATGACTCAGTGAGTCACTTTGCAAATATTTCTGGAATACTTACTATGTGCTCGGCAATTTGCTGGGCACTGACAGAGACTGGTAAACCCAAACAGACAGACATGGACCCCGCTTTCACTGAAACTGAGTATTCCTGAGTCTCCTATCTATGTTTGCTCCAGTACAAATAGGTCCTGTAAGTACCTCTGAGGTGTGTGTTACTCTTAAGTTACCATCTTGGAAATTTGAAAATAAATGCCACTGTCTTAACAATACATGAGGCAGTACATGGAATATTTTTGGTATTTCACTTTTCTTTTTTTTCTTGAGATTACTATGTACATCACTTGTTACTTAAAACACTTCAAGAACATGTTCATCCAAACGTTGGAGAAAAATGATGAAACGGATGAAAACAAAAGAAGCGACGCTATCACACTCTACCTAAGGATTTAGGCTTTCACCTTAAGTAGGGTGTGGTAGCGTCGCTTCTTTTGCTTTTTGTCAAACCAAGCATAGCTTGTCATGCTTTTGTTTCAACATCACAGGTCTCACCTCTGATTTCCTTCAAGTGTCAAAAAAACCGTGCACCACATGTAACCCATGTTGCTGACAAAGGCCTAAACATCTACAGGGACTAAGGGAATGCTTCCATGAGGTTTTCACAATGTTGTGAAATACTGCAACCCAGGTCTGGAATCACCCTTGATGGCTCCTTCTCCAGGGACCCCATGGGATAAGTGTCCCCGAATTTCTCTCCCACCACATCGCTGGCATTGGTGCCCCCATTTCCCCTTACCTAACTCTCAGCCTGGTCCCTTGCCTGTACCCCTGCCTCCTCGTCCTTCTAAACTTGCCTACGTACAATTGTTTCTACACATCACACCTCTTACGAGAGGCTGATGAAGTTGCTCCACCTGCCTACCAAGGCAAATTCTCAAACCTAGCCCAGCCTTCTGCAACTGACCTGAGGCTACCTTTCCAGTTTTAACTTCCTGTGTCATTTCCTACAGGCACCTTATAAATACTGCGCCACCATTAAAAAAGAATTAGATAACTTGGTATATACTACTCCAGCACAACTGCTAAGATATACTAGGTGAGAAAAGCAAAGTATAAAGCAGTGTGGATAGTATGCTGTAAGTTGTGTCTAACAACAAAGGATGTGCATATACCCATATCCCATAGATATGGCAGAATATCCCTGGATGCACAAACACACAAGAAACTGGAACTAGGAGCTGTCTCTAGGCAGCTTGGGTATAACGATGGGAGATTCACTTTTTACCATCTGTACTTTTCCCTTTTTGTAACTTTTGAATTTTACATTATGTGCCTACATTTATTTAACCAAAAAACACTTAAAAAATTATAACCTTGTGTTCAAGTTCAATGTTCCTCTTTCATGCCTCAAATATGTCTTGAACCTACAATAAATTTCTGCTTCAACTACTCCCCCCCTTACTCAATTACTCATCTTTATCTAACTAAATGCCACTTACTTTATAAATACTTCCCTAAATTTCACAATATTTTCCTAGCAAACTACCTTATTTGCATATCTGTTTGGTACTGTTACTTATATGCATTTTACTTCCCTTATTATTTGTAAGCTTTGGGAGGGCAGGGCTGTCTTAGTCATACTTTTTTCACAACATAGTAACTTGGATATAATAAACCAAAGTTAATACATATGCGACATGGAGAACGGAGACAACTGTAAGCAATAAGGGGGCAAAATCCACGGTGTTCTGTTTAGTGATACGTTCTCAGTGCCTACCAGAGGGCCTATTGAATTAATACATAAAAAGGAAAGTCTTCCAACCACAGGCTGGCTCCCTTTGGTTTTTGTTTTAGGATTAAAGCTTGGTTCACAAAAAGTACTTCTCCAATAATTAAAGGCATAAACCGCTCTCTTGGTTGCAAAATCACATATTATCCTATAGGCTACAAGTTGCTCAAAGACTTCACAAGAAAGGGTAAAGTATAACAAGAATTGTTTTGAGGACAAGTAATTAAGAGATCATCATTCCAACTTAAAAATCTGAAGTCAACTAGTTCTTACACATAATTCCTGTTCTATACTTGACTTCTAAATATTTGCCTCTTCACCACCCCTTCAACACATTCGGCCTCTCCGCTTCACCAACATCCCTAATTATCAGGTTTTCTCTGCTCTTTGCGTCATAATGACTATTTCAAACAGCTGTATAATCACCTCTCCTGTTCTGTCTTCCACCTGAAATTACAAATAGTCACCTTTACTTTATTTACAGGTCATTCGACCTACATATTTTTTTGTTAACTTCTATTTTACACTGTATATCTAACAAATCTTTCCCAGATATAACTTCATGTGATCACAGTCATGAAAAAAGACGTCCTAGAAATTTATATTTCAGCCCAGAGGTTAGGACCTTAAAAAGAAAAAAAGAAAAATACAACTTTCCTATTAGGAATGGTTATTTTGTGGTGTTTAATAGCTTTCACAAATTTTTCTTAAAGAAGCAAAAGATTAATACTGGAAGTTAAAGCAGATATTAAATGCTTAATAGATAAAATACCAGATAGATATGAACAGTTGCAGCCACTCAGCAACCCCCAGACATAATGCTTTTGTAAAGCAGCTTTTTTTTGTCTTACAACATTAAGCAAATCATTTAGCAATATCTTTCAGCCGTCAGACACAAAGCTGGATCTATTTACATCAATATGGTTCAAAACAGCGCCCATTATGTTACAGCAGAACAATAATAATCAGGAGTCTTTTAACCTCAGGAAGATAAAATATTTCCTCAGCTATCTGAATATAAAATAAAATACTACAAGATGATTACATTATTAAAAGATTAAAAAGAAAGATAATTTTACTTACATCAAGAGAGTCTTCATTTATAACAATCATTCCCATGTTCTTCCTCAAAAGTTTGCAGGAGTGTCCTACGTGCAAACAAAGAGTAAATTAATTGATATAATTCATTTCTCTAGAGAGAAGAGGTAAAGATGTTAAGTAATAATACTACAAAAATATCTAAATTTTATTTTTTTATCTATTAGGTAAAATTAAAATTTTATCTATTTAAATTTAGGATGATGCCCCACAGCTGTTTTCCAGTTTTGCAGGAAGTTAAAAAAGAAATGTTCTTGCTTGCTATAGGAGGGATATGATACAAGGACAGTAGCTGTCTTGATAAACAAATATGGAAAGAGATGGTGGTAATGAGTCTCAATGTCCTGAAAACTACAAATGTATATGGAATATCCTTCATGACGACCAACACGAAGAGCAGAAAATGGGCGGATGGGTGATTCTGGGGAAGGGTACAGGGGGGTTGTCTGGCTATGTCTTGGACCACTGATCCCACCACTGTCTCCTTGCCCTTGGAGAGTCATCACATCCTCTACTTTCCTGCCCTCTCTTGCTTTGTTGTACTTGCTGCAGGATAAAACCACCCACTGATTAAATCCAACTCTGCCTACTCTGCACCTGTTCACATACCGCCGAATGTGGCTGAAGGAAAACAGGCAACACAGCTGACTGGTCTCACATTTAAAATAATGCCATCATATTTAATACCATCTATACTCACTCCCTTTATGATCTCATTCCATCCCTGGTTTTAAATACCACCTAAATGTTGACTATTCTAAAACTCATATTTCCTGCTCAGACTGTTTTCCTGAACTTCAGACTCTCACACCCCAGTGCCTACTTAATAGCAGACACTTCGGTAAAAAATAAGCATCTCAACATATCCCAGACACAGGCTCCTGACCTCCTCTCAGAAAACCTACTCCTCCTTCAGTCTTCCCCATTTTGGTTAATGGCAACTCCAGCCTTTAGTTACTAAGGTTAAAAAGCTTAGAGTGACCCCTGATTCCTTTTTTTCTCTTATACCCTGCATCTAATCTATCAGTTGATCCTGTTGGCCTCACCTTTAAAATATACCCAGAACCCAACCACTTCTCACCACCTCCACTGTTGCCACCAAGGTTCAAGCCGCCATCATGTCTCACCTGGATTACTGCATAACAGCCTCTTCACTGGTCTCCCTGCTTCCACACGTGCTTCCCTTCAAGGCCATTCTCAGCCTAGCAGCCAGACTCATTGTTTTCGCAGGAAGGTCAGATCATGTCTTTCCTCTGCTCAGAACCACCCAATGGTTGTCCAACTCTCTCAGAGTAAATGCAAAGCCCCATCCAACCTGGGCTCTGTTACACTGCTGATCTCCTTCTATTCTCCCCCTTTGCATATCTGCTCTTTCTCTCTAGAACAGAAGACAGCTTCCCCTAATCATCCAAGTCACAAGCTCCCTCTTCTCTCTTAGGTCATTCCTCAAATGTCACCTTCTCAATGAGGTCTTCCTGACCTCCCTCTGTGCAATGCCCTATCTCCCTCTCCTGCTTTTTCTTTACAGCAGTTATTGCCATCTAATACACTAGGCATTTTTCTCATTTACTTTATTGTCTGTTTCCCTGACTAGAAGCTGAGCTCCAGGAGGGCAGAGATTTTGGTTTGTTTCATTCTCTGCTCTTAACTGGTGCCTGGCACCTTAGGCACCACAACCATTTGCTGAATGAATCAATCTTACCTACCTTTTACTAGTAACAATTATGGGCCAAGAGTCTAAAAGTTAAACGTGATGAGAAACCACTACCATATTATTATGATCTTTCATAATGGCTACATATCCTGGACTATTTTCAGCATTGCTTATTTTCCTCACATATCACTCTTTACCACCATATATTCTCCCTCTATCTGTAGTCATATTGTTTTATCATATTTGTGTTTTTCAGGTCTCTCAATTCTAATGCATTCTGTATTCTCATACACCTTCTTTCCATTTTGTCTCTAACACCAGTGGTAGTTTTATAATCAAAATTAACAACTTGTGTGGCTTGTATATTTAAACTTCCACTAGCTAGCCTTTTCTAAAAATTCATTTTCCTCCATTAATGAAATCAATTTACAATAAACTTGTAGTTGTTTTATATTTACAGAATATTGTGATTACTAATATTTCTAAAAGGAATATTAGCTAAATGTTTTTTAGATAGATGATCCTTAATAACGACTTTCTAAAAATGTAGTTTCATGTTGTCATCACTTCTGAAATGGTTTCTTAACTTTGGGAGAGTTTTGTAAGTAATTCATATCATTAATATCCAGAAGTTGAGTCTATGTCAGAGTTTACAGCACTCAGGCAACTTACTATAACTGAATTTGGAAAAAAAAAAGATATTTTCTTGCATATTATTGGTATTATAGGCCTCTTAACACCAAATACTAACTTTCTTCTCTGTTATGGATTGCATTGTGTCCAAACTCACATAGTGAAGCCCTAACACACCATGTGACTGTATTTGGAAATAGGGCCTTTAGGAGATCAAGTTAAATGAGGTCATAAGTGTGGGGCCCTAGTCCAAGAGGACTGGTGTCCTTACAAGAAGAGGAAGAGACACCAGGAGTGCACGTCCATCTAGGAAAGGCGAGGTGAGGAAAGAGTGAGAAGGCAGCCACCTACAAGCCAGAAAGGGAGGCCTCAGGAGAAGGCAAAAGTCCCGACACCTTGATCTTGGACTTCTAGCCTCTAGAACTGTGAGAATATAAATTTCTGTAGTTTAAGCCACCCAAACTGTCGTATTCTGTTATGGCAGCCTGAGCTGATGGATACAACCTCTTTCCAAAAAACTAGAATTAACTGTAGGATGAATGAAAACTCAGTCTTCTTACCGCCTACCGCAGAAATAACCTTTGGTCACATACACAAATGTCAATACACAAGGCTGCCATAATCCTGATTTCCAAGCTTTCACAGACAACTGTGGAAATTTATTTATGTGTCAATTATGGATGGAAAGTGGGGGTAGATACAAAGGTGAGAGAGGGCATTACATGATTGTAAGAGCTAATATTTGGCTGTAAATATAACCATTGCAACTTTAAAGCGGTATTGGGGCTGTGAGTAAACAGATAAGCCCAATATACTACCAATATGGAAAACTCAAAATACCAAACCTTTCAAATCTGAAAATATCTCAAATCTAGCTCTTGAAATATATCAACAATTTAAAGTTTGAATTAGGTAAATTACCAATGTTAATGGCAGTTTCTTGCTTGTCGCCTGTAAGGATCCAGATTTTAATGTCTGCTTTCATCAGAGTTTCTATGGTTTCAGGCACTTGATCTTGTAATTTATCTTCAATGGCTGTAGCTCCAAGTAGCTGAAGATTCTGGGGAAAATGAGTAGCAAAAATTTTAAGAAGAAAACCAGTTTAGATTTTTTAAGAACAAAAAATTGAAGTGTGTATATGTTTTCAAATAGAGACAAAATGATAATTCATGGATTTGTAAATTCCAACTATCCTATTGAGTTTTCTCTCTTGAAGATCCCTGACTTTCACCCAGAACTTTTGGCAGAAGATCGAAGCTTTCTGAAGGTACTTGTCTTATCTTACTCCTCCCTAAGATGAGGAACTGATTCTAAAAAAAAAAACACACACATATAGAAGGGAGAAATTAAAAGTCAGTTAAAAAGGAGCAGGCACCCACTAAGCAAAAATTAAAACTATGGAAGATCACCAAAGTGAAGAAGCAATCTTGTTGACCTGTTTGAAAAAGAGTAAAGATATACGCTGATACTATTAAATTGTCATTTGATGCAGTGTCAGGAAATGTATACACCTAATACAATTAGAAATGCTGAGGAAGAGAGCAATAACAAAGTGACAGCATTAGTCTCTGTAAGAAAGAACAGGTAGAGTGCTTTTCACATTGCTCCATATTTGCATAGTGGAAGGTCAGAGTTCACTACAGATCCCTTGCTCATTAGATGGTATCTTTCATACAAGATTGAATACAACCAATATTCTCTTCGGAAAGCTGTTCTAATCTCTCACAAAGAAGAACGGTTTCTACTCTCATTTTTCCCAAATGGAGGAAACAAGAGAACAATCTCTTGGCTGTTAGGGAAACTTGGTGTGCTAAATGGACATAGGTAATGGTGTTCTTGGTCCTAAATACATAGGAAAGCACAGTGATGGACTAAGATTTAAACCTGTCTCTCCATCTTGTAACCAGGCATTGTCACTAGCAGGGCACTCTTCCCAACAGTGTTCTGCAAGCCACAGCCAACTGGTTCTCAGGTTTCCCCTGTAACCTAACTTCCAGCACGATCCACTTCAGCATTTTTCTTTCTTCTCAACCTTTTTCTCCCCTCTTCCTTCATTTTTTATTTAAAATATCCAACAAGGACAGAATGGATACATGGTAAATTAAGTGCTAAGGATAGTGTGTGGGTTGGTAACAACAAAGAAAGCATTCCATTTTGTATTTTTCCTCTAACATTAAGTCCTGTTTACTTTTCACTAAAATGGAAGTCTAAAATTAGTCTCAAGTCTTGGTAGACATGGAAAATAAAGTTAAATATATATACAAACACGAAAGAGTGTGTATGTGTACGTGTAGTTTATGCGTGTGTTAGGAATGCTTTTGGCTATAAGTAACAGAAAAATCTGACTAACAATGGCTTAAAGGTTTAGTTTTCCTTACGTTAAGTAGTATTGAAGTAGATATTTGTGGGCATTAGATTGGTAGCTCAACCATATCTCAACTCATTCCTGGATCTTTCTCAGTGCCTCCAGGTGGCCGTCACAGTTCTAATTTTAAGAGCCACATTGGAGACAGGAATAACGGGGTAATTCCAACTGTATCCATCTCTTATTTGAAAAGCAAAAGTGTTTCTAAAAGTCTTCAGCATTTTCCAAATAGGGCCAACTGGCCATATTGTGTTAGACTGCCATCCCTAACTATTAGTACTTAGCTTTTCCAGCCTCTATAGTGGAGGTGGCAAGGAAGGAAGAGGATGGGAATGGGTGTTAAGTTAGCCAGTCAACAGTCCTTCCATAAAGCTTAAATATAGATGGGCATGCCTCTGCATTAGCGTTTGTACATACGTATGTGTATAGATACACACACAGCCCTCACTGCCTTGCCTGGCAAAACTTGGCTCATCCTGTAAGGCCACACTCAACTGTTACTGCTTCTTTGAAGCTTTTCTTTACTTCTTAAGACAAGTCTTCCCCTCTGTTGTGCTCTGATAAAACTTGGTTCATCTTTACAACTCTTAATTTATCATATTAACTGTTCAAATGTATGATTCTGGTAGTTTTGTTCAAGAGTAGGGACTATGTCTTGTTCAACTTTATGTATTGCATCTCCATAACAGTGACAGTCAGTATTCAGTATGTTTGCTGAATGAGTGGATGACAAAAAAGAAAAAGAAATCCAAAATCCACATGTGATAAAGTATTGCTGCAATCTACACCATTTTCTTTTCAATATATTCCAAATAACTTATACAACTATGAGATACACTTGATGCATGACTTCTTAGTTTCCAATATATAACACAGGAAGGCAAATTTCCTTCTTTAAGGAGATAGTATTATTTTATTATCTTTAATGGGAAGCAGATTTGAAATCTATCATAACCTGATGAATAATTATCATCAAGAAGTTCAAGAAGGAAAAGGAGGAAAATAGTTCCACATCAACTATGCCAACATCACAATTGCTGTATTTCAGTGTTTAGACAATGATTCTATCAATTCTTTTAGCTACTTTTAGGGCATTTGTAGCTAAATCATTCTGGCCCACGTCCAAGGGAAGATCAGGATATAGCTGTGTTCAAACTTTAAATATTCTAAAGAAGGCATAAGATTTTTAAATGATCAGGTAATACAAGCTCTCAAAATTTTCTGAAGCAAAAAATTATTATTTTTTTTGTGAGGAAGATTAGCCCTGAGCTAACATCTGATGCCAATCCTCCTCTTTTTGGTGAGGAGGATTGGCCCTGGGCTAACATCCATGCTCACCTTCCTCTACTTTATATGGGACACTGCGACAGCATGTCTTGACAAGTGGTGCGTCAGTCCACACCCGGGATCTGAACCTGTGAACCCCGGGCGGCCAAAGCGGAGCATGTGAACTTAACTGCTATGCCACTGGGCCAGCCCCCCAGAAATTATTTTTTGTAGTAGGTTTCACAAAACCTTGGGGTAACTAGACAATGTGAGAGCCAAGACGTAAATACACATTCATTAGAAATTTACAAACAGGTATATTTGTATATAGCTCTACTCCACGGGGAGAAATGAGCTCAGGAAGCATACAGGTATACATTACTATGCACAAATCTAATAAAACTAAAATGACTGCACTGGGGCGATCACGTTGAAAACATATTTGAAAGAAGGAAAACACCTGGTTTTACATAGGTAAAAAGGAAACATTTTTCAAACCAGGCAAAAATAATATGAAGGACCAAAGAGGTAGGGCCAGCAATGCAGATGCTGAGAAAAGTTTTACACGTAGGTAAACTTGGAGTGTGTTGGAGGCTATGATAATGAACTTCTAAAAAGGGAAATGAAACATTTCTGAATATTCAGTAAAACTGCAGTGGGTCTACTTTGATGCCTATAAAGGAATAAACCATGTTCCAAAGCCTGTTAATTTTCCCTTTATCCTAAGCACTCCTCGAGTACAGCACTTACTAATTTTAGTGGAAGGCTCTGCAGGCTTTTTTCCTTTGGCCTTGGTGTCATTTATTGTGAGATTAGGATCTCGAGTGATAGGCTGTTCTGCCTCTGGAAATTAATATCTTTAGCTATGTAACGATCATCAGAAAAAAAGATGTGAACTTTGCGTGCTTTTCCTGATCATAACACAAGAGTGTTTAGGCCGTAATCAATTTCATCCCAACATGTATTACCTTACACAGATGGCCACTAATGGGCACTATGGGAGTTACATATTCAGCAAGTATTGAAACATGATAAAATTCCCATGGCATTTATGGAATTAAAAAAAAAAACCCCAAACACTAATTTTACTTTCAAAATGTCACTATGCCAAAAGTTATAAAGGTTTCAGGTTGATGACTCTTTGACATAATATGGATTTAGTTACCACTGAAAAATCAAGAATATTTATTCACCTAGTAAAGCCCTCAATAATCTTATTTTCTCTTTTAGATGTTCATAATGTATGCAGAGTTTTAAAAAAGGCATATAAATGTAAAATTTCTGCCCTAGTGAAGATAAAAACCTTCACAGACAGTATTTAATAACTGTATGGTAAAATGAATTATGACAGATTTGGAAATTATGATTATAATTAGATTATACATGTATTATCCCAATACATGTGTTTTTTGCTCAATAACAGAACCTCAAAATGACCTATTTCCATATTAGCAAATATTTTGTCAGTGTTTAGATTATTTAGTATTTTCTAAAAAGTTTGTGATATGCTCCTAAACGAGAAAAAGTATAATAATCAAACATATCAATTTAAGCTTCAGATTACACCATGGACTATTTGACAGAAGTTTCTTTAAAGACAAATAAAGAAATAATACAGGTAAAGCAAAGTTTTACCACTGGAGTAAGTATGGGTAAATACTGGTAACATTTGGTAACCTTTACTTTAATCTGAAATAACATCGTGACTAGGAAGATTAAGAAATATTTTCTTAACAGAGAAAATGTACCAGACACTGCTAAGTGCTTTATTAATCTAGTTAATAGCTTCAAGAAGGTTTAATTAATTATCTAATGTCAAATAGAGGTACAGCCGAGCTACGACAGTAAGAACAAAACAAGAATCAAAACACACCCAAAGGCAGTGAGTGGCGAGTAAAACTGAGATTAAATCAAAGTTAGAATTTTATTCAAATCATCAGGTTTTTAAACATCTGTCTCTATTCTTCAGTCTTTAGTGAACCCACGAATGGGTTTCAGTCTCAGTCCTGAACCACCTCTGCCAGGTGTACCTATTTCCCTGTTTCCACCTGCAGGCCCCAGATTCACCTTTTGAGACTGGCTTCTTTCCAAGCACACATGCATGCCCGCATTCATTCACTCACAAATACACACTGAGCAGGTAGTTCTGGGCAAGACGGTGGATACAACAATGAGTTCCCGCCTTCCTGGAATTTATATTTCAGAACTCATCAGTAGAGACTCCTCTTTGGATTCCTCCCTGTCTTGTTTTCTGATTGTACTCCTTTCATTTTACTGGCATCTGTTTCTCCCAGACCCTAGCTGCTTGGCTGTCATCAAGCCCCAAGTAATTAACCACAGGGCCAGGAATCTAGAGTGGTGGTTTTCAGAATCACCTGAAGGGCTTAACTGCACACAGATCAGCAGGCACTACACCCAGAATTTCTCAC